TCAGTTTCTGAAGATTCCTTATGAAGTCTTTTAAGTTTAAGAGGTGATTCATTTGTGGACTGTGCCTCATCAGTTCTGACAAGGGCCCTTCACTGACGACTCATGCAAGTATCAGTGCTGGACTCTCCTGACTAGCTGCTATTTATGTGGTAGTCTTGATGAAAAGCCTCTGGGATTTATACATTGGCATAATAAGTGTTTTCAGTTTGCTTCTATATGCCCTTCCTGACCATTCATAACATTGCCTCTGCATTCTTTTTTTTGTCAGCTAACATTTTTCATGCGTTTCTGCATCTTTTGTCACATCTGATTGTTGAGAAGTTGGATAACTGCCTGCCTTTCAATATATATGCCTCTTCTTACATCAAAAATTAAGCAATAAAGTTTTAATAATTTTCACTTTAGTTCATAAATATTTTTTAAACTGTTTTCTTTAACTTACAGGCACTGCATATAGAAGAAAGTTGAGCTAACAAGATTACTCACTCTCCCCAACATCTGACTGAATTAAGTATCTTTGTCAACTATTGTAAATGATGGAAACCAGGTTATTTCACTCCCCACTGCTCAAATCCAGCATCTCCTTGAAACAGGTGAGCACAAGAAATTTGTCTTAAAGTACAAATAATGTGGAAGAAACAATATTAGCTTCACTCGAATGTATGAATGGCTACCTAAAAACCCCATTTGGAAGTTCCCTGTTTGTGAACACCTTTACATTAAAATGAAAGAACATGATCAGCAAATACTGGCCATCTTTACTTTTTAATGATGGATAAATTACTAATGTCTCTATCAATTGCAGGCCAAGGCAAATATTTTCTGTTTATTAAAAATCTGTCAAGAAAGAAATTCTTTACAGTTTTACCTTTTTAAGTTAAAACCATGTCAGAGTTATTAACATCTGTACTTAACTATTAACTTTTATGGATGTCATCATCATAATAAAAATATTGCAGCTAATAACCATTAATTCAAGAACAGCATCACTGTCGGAAAGTAATCTTGGCTGTAATTTTTATACCTCTTTAGTATGCTACTGTCAGGTTTTAAAGAAAGCTGACGAAGTCAATGAGGCATCACTGAGGATTTGAAACTAAAACTTTGGTAGACTTCTACAAGTCTTTCTGACGCTTCAAGTCCAGAATCATACCTAGAAAATTAACATCAACTTTCAGCACAACCTCAGAATAAATAACCATGTAGAACAAAGGTGTTTTTCATCTTATCTGACTTAAAGTAAATGAAGAAGTTAATTTTAAAAAAGAAAGAACTGAGGCAGAGCTAACTTACAAATGTACCTTCTACCCGTAAGAGCCAATATCCTCTGATAACACACAGAACTTGGAATCAGTCAGTCAATCCCATGCAACTATTCCATTGCTGAACGAAAGAATATAGGGTTGGCAATCAAACCCACCTGCCTATGCAACCAGCATGAAATCACAGGCTGACAGAGTAGAAAGGCATTTATATAGCATGAAATAAAACCTACCTGTTGAACATCCTGTTGAAAAACGCATAGCTGAAGTCGCTGGTGCAAACGAACCTTTCGATGCTGCCAAATATTTTCCAGTTGGCGCTGGTGGTGCAGTACTTCATGGATAACATCCAGAACATGATGAACTGCTTTTGAGTAGTTGGCAGTAGCAGTGAGGGAATCAGAACTCCCAGGAGTCAAAGGTCTCTGAAGTTTGTCAAGCAGTGACTTTCCATCTTGGCTCACCTGACCACCAGAAAGGACGAAGAATTACTTGTCTTGCCAAAAGCCTGTTAGACTATTCTTTCATTCCCCACACTCTCTCCCCATTTTATATGTCTTTAAGAATTCGTGGAGCAGTGATGAAGATTTTTTTTATTCCAGGCATGATTACATGCAGCTGTTACAGGGGGGAAGAAAAATTACATATAAATGTATATTCTCCCTCTATGTAAGACAGTTTTAAGTAGTAGCACTCTTTTAAATAAAGCCTGTCTTTTAATTAAGAATGCTTTTCCTTTAAAGTGTTTTTTGTTTTTTAAGTCAAGACTAGCTTAGAATACACTTTCTTTAGTTCTTTCTCTAGTTAACAAAGCATCTAAAATAAGCATTTGCCCAGAATTATCCTTCCAGGAGCACACTCCTCTTTTCACTTGTTTTGAAGGTGAACAGGGAGGTTACTTTCTAAAGGTCAATATTAATTTGATGAATACATTTAGACAAAAAGATATGAACTCAGGCTATGCTTTGATCTGACACAATTTACAACTTTTAAATTATTACTGTTACCAGTAAGACAAAAGTAACCTGTTGTTACGGCAAACTTAAACTTGATTAAATCACTTAAAACCTCTCCATGCAGCACAGGAAGACTCTTTCCAAGAAGTGTTTAACTACTGATGCTGACAAGAAACATTAGTAATTTTTAATTGTTGTCTTCTCTGATTCAAACCACAGCAAAAATATTCAGATTTACCTTGCATGTTAATTAAAGAGCAATAATCCTGTCTTACCTGGTCACAATGTTTAGCACTTGCCAAGGCTGCTGAAAGCACTTTTCATTGCCATTTAACTATTCTCTCACATTTAGCATGGAGCTCAGAGAACTTTTACAATACATTATCATTCAACTATCTGTAAAGAACTTTTCTAATAGCCCATCTAACAGGCAGGAAAATTCATCCAAAACCACAAGACTGGAGTGTAAACAATAGTCTGAATCCATCAAATCAACACTATGTCAGAAACAGAAAATTTGTCAAGGCCTTCCCCCAGTGGCTGTTTTCAACAATTTTCACTAAATCTAAGCACATTTAAAATTTGCTATTCAGTAGTAAAGCAGATCTGAATGAAAATTCTTTTCTAATAATTAGTTTACAAGTGAGTTTACTTTTCAGTTCCAAATTAAGCTTTTCATTTTAGTAATAAGTATCAACACAGAGAATGAAGCTCACTTGGAAAAGTAGCTCCTATAAAGTCAAATCAGGCAGGAAAAAATTATAGTCCATAGTAGTTATTATAATGATGATTTTTTTTCTTTTTTGCATCCAAACCAATTATCTAGTACAAGTCTTTCAAAGACTGCAAGGTAACGGACTTTCATTATCTATCCAGAGTCCATGAAATTTAGGGGGAAAAAAAATAATTAATTGTGATAGCCCCTTGATCCAATTAATTTATTAACTTCACAAATGATCATGCAAATTTCCTCTTTGGAATTAACAGAGTAAAGCTGTCTTCATTCCCAGTGCATGACTACCTTAAGATTTCAGTGAGATATACAACTTCATTTATACACATAGCTTCATTTAAGGCACAGCTACGGGATTTTCAAGCACACCAGTTAGCTAAGCTTGTAAGCTAGTAAGTTACTTTTCTAGTAACATACAGTAATCATCCTCAGTAAAATCAGACTGTCTAGCCTTAAAAGCATTTACTCTCTTTAAAATGACTGTCTTCTACTTTGCAACTAAGTCATGTTGTCAAGACATTGTAATCTAAAATGAATGACAAAGTGTTGTAATTTCCACAGTGTTCCTCTCTCTCCCCACTGTTCATTCATCACAAAATGAAAGGAGCTCCATGCTGTAACAGAAACGAAGTCATACATCTAACAACGATAAGCAATAGCTCGGTAATATCTTTACATAGAAAGACAACTACATCAATCTTCAAAAAGGAATGTGTGTTTAAGGCAAAATAAAACCTTTTGTCCAGAGGAGGAACACAACATGTACATACACATACAACTATTATGTCTGCACCAACTCTGGTTGCTAAAGACAAAGCTATTGCTTTACCAAATGGGGAAAAGTAATGAACTGAAATCAGAAGAAAGGCAAATAATGTTCTGGGGGTTTTTTGAGCAGTACCAATGAAGATTTTGTTAAAATCTCTAGCTATCCTAAAGTCAAAAGCTATAGCTTTGAAATCCTGAACCAACTTTCAAGGTATTTGCCAGAGCTATCCTATAATCCACCCATCTAATTTATTACCATTATGCATCACCAGGAAGCAAACAGCATTTAACATGGTAATCCACAGTACTTATTTACACTTAACAGCAGGCTCTAATTCAGTCACATCCCTGATGAAAACACACAGAAAAAACCCCAATCCAGAACCAAAGAAATCCCACTGTTTTAACTTCAATGCTTTATAATCATTATCCCAGACAGCCCTGGCCTTCTTATTATTCCTTGGTGCAGTCTCATGGAATATGTGCCCTCTCTTCACATACATCTACTACAAACACGCTACATCTCTGTCCTTTGTTTTACAAAGGAATCCTCCCAATGAAGTGAGGTTATAATGAAGAAAAGAAACCATCCTACAAAACACACTCAAGAATGAGTTAGAACAGCTGTGTGTAGTAAGATCACACACTGAAAGTGTGCTTCAGTATGTCATTAGATCAGTTGCCACAGCATGGTGGCATGTATCAGGAATGGGCATATCAGCATGCATTTTACACAAAAGAACTACTCGTGAACTACGGACATCTGACTCATGGTAATAAAGTTTATGCAGGCCCTAAGATGGCAGGTATTCAAAAAATCCAGTTTTGATATACTAACAATAGGACTGATCATCAACACTAATCTAACTCCCCTTTACTGCTAAATGAAACGTGACCAGACTTATGATTCAGTTGCCCATAACAGAGCTGGTTCATCAGAAAGTAGTTTTACCTTTAATGTAATGTATAAACCACAATCATCACTTCAATCCCACATGACCTCCTTTTAAAAGAGTGTGCAAGCTGTGTCTTAAGCTATTCTGTGTCCACTGATAATTTTTTACCATGATTTAATCAAATGCATAATTTCATGCAATTTCATTAGAACAGAAATTGCTGTATTCAATCCAGAATAACTGTAGTCCAATTTAACAGCCAAAATAATGTGATGAGAACAACTCTGTAAAAAGAAAGCAAGAAAAGCTCAAACAGGAAATACAGAAAATACCTGTTAGCTAATAGCGAAGTTGACAACTATTTGATTTGCTTGAGACAACTAAAGCACATGAGAGAACTCAAAATTAGAAGAAAAATTATACTTTAGTCATCACTTTCTAGGCCACCTTCAGAATAAGCATTTTTTCTTAAGTTGTAAATACAACTATTAGAAATACTGAGAAATATTGTTACTTCATTGTGTGCCGAATCCAAGGCTAGAGCAACAGCACAGGATATGCTAATCTTACGAATGCTGACTATATAGGCATGTTGGCTCATTTAAGTGTCTTTGAGCTTGGCAGAACTAAGTATATAACTTAGGGCTTATCAAGTGACGTCCTTTGACAGTTAAGCCTTTTTTGTGAGTCAGGTTCAGAGATGGATTTTCAAAACACTTAAAGCAATCCATGCCAACAGAATACTTTCCCAAAGAATACCCAGCTGGCATCCCTTCGAGTAAGTGTTTCAATGATAGAATCATACTGATATTAAAATGCAGTAATATGCAAATGTAAAATAAAATGTACTTAGTACACTGCATGGATTGTTTCTACCACACATGGTCCCGTCTTGCCTTTTAAATTTCTTTTAAAAGAAATTAAGAGGAAGACTTAACTTTTGAACAACAGTAGTGAAGTCCAATATACTACATTTAAAAAGAAGCCTAGCACTTGAGTTTCCAATTAATGCACTGTGCAACAAGTGATGCCAGTTCATGACCCAACCTTAATGGTACAACATTTCATCAAGTCAGCACGCTAAGGAAACAAAGACAACACCGACCTCAGAGTAAGCCAAGGTAATATGCTCGTATATCCCTTGATGATGATGGATAGCATCTTCCAAATCTTGCAGTTCTGAGGGAAGCTCCACCTCACCACATGCTTTACACCATGAGTCCACATTGCTCATGTACTGCAACAGGGAAAAAACATTCTGCTTAATTTTGGGTTCTATCAGTAAGCGCACGCATGTTGGTAATATACAAAAGGACTGGCATCTGTGTGACAGCCACTGAAAAGACCTTTTTAAGGGAAAAATGTTTAATGTATTTGTCTTCAAAAGGACCTAAATGAAGTTTATATCAGAACAGAAACAAATATTCAAATCTGACCATACTTGTGCTTTTAGTTATATGGAACTCTGAGCTGTTCACAGGCAGACAGGCTTAGTTGTATGTTGGCAGCCTTCACAACCAATTAAACTGTTGTAAATACTGATGTTTTAAGTTTACTTTTTCTCCTTTTCTTGACTTTGCAGCTAGGAAAAAGTTTACTTCACCCTGCACCTATTATTTCAGATGCTATAAAGCCAGTTAAGGTCTTGTCTACACAAAGAGGTAAAACATGCTACAACTTTTGAGTCCAGGCCCTCAGCTCTTACCCATCAATGCCCTGTGCAGATACTCATGGTATCATGCGGTATCACCTCACCTTTTTTCAGTCTTCAGAGAAAACCAAGTTACTTTAGATGCATGTGCACACGCACACAAAGAATTAATGACGAACTGTTCACTGATACACTCCATAGTTGTCTTTTGCTGGAGAGAGATCATCAAGGAGGCAAAGCAGCATTAGAGCACAGCAAAATCACGCGTCTCTCCCCAAAGCACTAACTTCCACGTGCAGAGAAGCACTAAATCCATTTGGCAAGCTACTACAGCAGCAAGCATGTAAGGGATTTACAACTTAAGCGAGGGTCTCTTAGGACTGATGCTGAACTTTGAGCACACAGCTATGTCAGCATAGCAGCTCAAGTCAAGCCTTTCAGGAGAAATTGAAGATACTGCAACTGAATCTCTTCCGTGGACAATTTAAGTTATCTTCGAAGCTTAAGCTGTCTTGACAGACAAGAAACTGTCATCACAGCAGCAGAAGTTCTGTCAACTTATTTTTGACAGCTAGGGGGCATGATTTTATACCCTCATTATGCTAGGAAAGGAAAGATGAAAAAAATATTTATTTTTCTAGAAGATTTCATGGCTGTTAAACTTAGTACAGCCAAGTACATGTGGTATCTGTAAACTAAATTTTTCATCTATTCATGTGAAGTCCCAGCCTCAAAAGTTTTAAGAGATTAAGCCATTTCTCTCATCATACATATCGTAATTCCTGGAGCACATGTAAACTTTCGAGGAAAAAGTAATCCACAGACCATTTCTGGTACACCATTCTTGTTTGAAAGCTGGGAGGAACGGTGAGAGTGTACTTAAGACTCTTATTTAATTCTCCTTCCATCAAAGGACAATTAAAAAAAATCTCTAACATTAAGCAGTGAAAATTAAAAGAAGCCCCATGCAGGACCACAGAGCTACACCTCTAGCACCAGTCAGCAGGCATTGATAGCTGGGTGCAGCCTTCACTGTGTCTGACAGTAGGCAGCAACACTTACCTGTCACTTGCAAGGGAACACGTGCATTTAAAAAGGGTGTATTATTTCTTTGGCTGCTTATTTTTAATCATCTTTTTATGTAGGTCAAGCATCACCAGCCTCTAAAGGGATCTCTATAGGGGCCATTCCTCTTATTCCAACCCCTCTTTCCTTGAACTCCCTCTCCACTGTTAATGAAACACCTAATATATCACAGCCAGGTATCTTACAAAGCAACTGTGACAATCCATCATAGTTAATCATCAAATGAAAACCGCAGAAGGAACAATTAAAAAGCAAATTAAACCTAGCAGATGCTGCACTATTTTCTCTCATTCTTCTCTTTCCTCCTGTTTACACTTACACTGAAGAAGGTGACACTGACCCTTGCCACAGTTGCCCAGCACAAACACACAAAATTTACTCCTCTGACTTCTGGTGAACATCATTTTCTTATGAAAAAGGACAGCACTTCACTCAGGGTATACTTATCTGTTCATGTTTCATCATCTCTCTCTTATATGTATGTCTGACAGCACTTAAATGTAAATGCAAGCCATCAGAAAAGCATCAATACTGATAAGATACCACACTGTGTCTATCAAATGCTTCTAGCAACAGTTTATGTAATTTACCTCAGTGTGTTTGCAGACAGTTAAACCACTGTCACCAGTAAGATAATGAAAAGAAACACGCATTCGCATCTTAATAAATTCACATTTCTAATTTCTGAACATTCATGAAGTTGACTATCTGTGTAGTAAAATCGTGGAAAAAACTTCTTAAAATAAAGTGTGCTGCCTCTCTCCATTTCTGCAGTTATCAGCTCCCAAGTGGTTCCTTAATTTATTCAAAATTAAAGTTATATCAGATGTGAGACCTTTTCTTGGATCCAATTTAGCAAGGCAAATGGAAAGAAAAGGATCTACAGCAGCCATACAGCACACCAGAGCTTCAGTCAGCCATAACCATCCAAGAACCTCTGCTCTCCAAATTCACCAGAGATGCACAGAGCACACAGTCTATAACATGAATGGGTGACTCAACAGCACACACACAGCAGCTCCTTCAGAACTGAATTCCCTGGAGGGGAAAACATGCTTTCACCATCAAGACTATTAACTTGGGGATATTCATTCCTGTTTCCCCTACAAATACCTCTTCTCTGGCAGTTATACACGGTTAATGACTTCATTAAAATAAGTGGTATAGGCCTAAAGCTAAATTTTTTGTTTAATATAGGAGGAATCTCTCATGGGATACAAAGTAAACATCTCCCACCACAATTTTAGATTCAGAAGACAGCTAATTAACTTCACAATTTTCAGGCCAGTTCAACTTAGTTTCCTATAAGCAATTACCATGAGTTAAGTCTGGACACTCAAGGACCGATGGGGGTGGAGTGGTGAGGACAATAGAACAACTGATGACTTCTGAATGTAGCAAAGGCATCATTACCGATACTGACCATACTAAATTTTTCCTTTCTTTCTTTCAAATGCTTATGTCCACTTCATTTTGATTCATATATCTAACTTGGATAAATTTTATTTTCCATTGATACGAGCAAAGCATTTTGTGGAGAATATAAGGGCAGTGGGCTGTTCTGAGGTGAACAAGTTTTTGAGTATCAGCTAAAATCGGCAGAAATGAGTGCTCTGTCTTTCTTGCCAACTCTCTTGTACTTCTGTCTAAGTCAAAAGCTGTGTGTAGTAAGAGCACCATTCCAGCATGGGAACTTTTGTGGGCGCCCTCCCCATTCACTAACCTGTTCAGCTTTCTGATGGAAGATAGAGGACATATCCAGTAACGTGCTACGTTCATCCAAGGCTGCAGCAAACGCCTTCCATTCTTGCTCCAACTGACTAGCAATCTGTTTTATTTGCTGTGAAGCATAATGACCAGACTCGACCAGGCGATTTGCTACTGACATGATGCGGTTTATGTTTACATACACATTCTATGGAAAAGAAGAAGGGAAAAATTAGTGGAAGTTAGCAGACCACTTAAACACAGAGGCATACTTCCATAAAATTCCTTGTCATTACAGTACTGCTTAACAGACTGGTTTTATTTGCCAAATGCATGTATGTCTAACTTTGGAATCTAGGTGTACAATGTAATAGCCTGTCTGTATGACTGACAAGGGAGAAGGATAACTTGAAATGACCAGAGAGTCTCAAGCCAACATTAACGGTCAACTTAAAGTCATATTATATGAAGACACATTATTATAATGAAGGGGAAAAGCCAACCATACTTTTCAACAGCCTCAATAAGAATGTTTATGGACATTCAAGTTACCAAGACATTTGGACACACATTATAGGAAATTCAAAGTATAATCAGTAAGTACTTGATCTATCCATGGCATGCATGTGTGGAACATCACTCTACAAATCTTTACATCGACTTCTGAAAGTATTTTTACTTTTGAAGCAACAAAACACAGAACTTTGTATTCTAAGGACTTCAACAGTTTTAGATTTTATTTTCCTGACACCATACTGCCTCAGAGCTAGAATGGAAAACTAGACAAATAAGGCCAAAGATCAGGAAGACTGTCTAGCATACTGGCATTACTCAGTGATGGCTCTTAGTCACTCTAATTTTCTTTCCTTTCAGCTCACATACGCATTTTAGCCTAAAGTGTCTAAAATCTGTTCCTGTTCTGATCCTCTATGAACAATATTTTTCAAAGGAAGCAATCAAGTGTTCTGACTACTGCAAAGCCAGGAACAAGAACAACTTCACCACCAAAAGGTTTCAGAACTATGTGTATATAACGCTGAGTCAACGCTTCTTTCAATTGGGCTGACTCTCGTACAGCTAGAAGTTCTTAGAATCACAAGACTCTTGAGGTGGGAGATCATCTGGTCCAACCCCCCTGCTCAAAGAAGATTAAATCACAGCAGGTTGCTCAGGGTCACGTCCAGTGGGGTTTTGAGAATCTCTATGGATGGAGAGACCACAGTCTCTCTGGGCAACCTGTTGCAGTGTTTCTTATCTTTAAATGCAATTTCTTGTATTTCAACTTGTGCCCATTACCTCTTCCTCTGTTACTGGATACCATGGAGAAAAGCCTGGTTCTGTTTTTTTTACTTGCTCCCATCAGATACTTTTTATACACATCCTAAGCATCCTTTACACATCCAAGATCCCTCCTAAGCACTCCTTTATCCAGCGTAACCAATCTCAGTTCTCTCAGCATCTCCTTGTACAACGCAAGCATGCCATACAGGTACTTCAGAGAAGAACTTGGTCATGGTGACTTCCCAGAAAGGGAATGAGAGCTTTCCACATGATGTTGTCCTGTAGGGACATCCTAATTCGTGTGTGTACACTTGGAGAAACCCCAGTTCAGCCCTGTTTTATTGATTGCAGTGTCCCTTTTGTTCACATCACAGCAGACTCTTTGCCTGCCAACCCAGTCCACCACTTCTCACTTGATTGCTGGTCCTCCTTCTCCCTCTCCCACCATTCTCACCCTAAAGCTCTTCTTATACAGGTTGTCCAGCCTGCTGGCAAAGATACTTTTGCCCCACTTAGTCAAACAGCAATCCTTGATCCTCAGAGAGGGGGTCCCACAACTGTAGAAACCAAAACGCCATTGCCAACTTCATCTGCGTAACCAGTTGTTGACCTGCAGGATCCATATACCCTCTCACCAGCAGGATTAAGAAGAAAACCACCTGGGCTCCCACACCCGTGACCACTGCCTCTGGAGCCATGTAGTCATCCTTGAGACTTCCCAAGTCACCCCTGGCAGTATCTCTGGTGATCACATGGAAGAGCTGCAGGGGGCAAGAGTCTGAGGGTTGGACAAGCTCTGGCAGCCTTTCCACAACATTCCACATATGAGCCCCCAGTAAGTAGTAAACTTTGACAGAGAATGAGCCAGGTTGGCAGATGGGAGTGTCCCATTACTATCACTTGCCTCTTCCTTTTGGTACTCCTGTGTGGCTCAGATTCAGATGGCACAGGTGCTTTATTTGACACCTCCCAGCTCCTCATCAGCCGTGAGGTCAGCGAACCTATTCTGTAGATGCAAATCTTCAGGTGGAGCAGAAACCTCTCCTGAAGCCCCAGCCTTAGCAAGAGGCCACAGGCATTCCCTGCAGCCCCAGACCTGCAGAGCTGTGTCCTCCTTCTGGAGCTCCCTCTGGGCTGGGACCTCTGACATTACAGGGATAGTCAGTCCAGCAGTAGCTGGGGACTGCACCTGGGGGCACATCACCACCATTGCCAAGGACACGGAAGCCATTCCGATCAGCACTGCTGCATTACCGTACATACAGGAAGTACACAAATGTCCTTAGTACAACTATTTTCTCTCACAATGCCCTTCTGCCAGAAGCTGAAAAGACACCTTACAATATCTGGAAAGCTCCTCATTGCAGAATTATTCCCTAAAGGGAGTGTACATATAAAAAAGTATTGCTCAGCAAGGCAACACAGATTAGTAGCATAACACAAGCTGTAGCACACTTTGTCATTCTTTGGTGTGTGCCTGGAAGGCAAGTACACGGGAGAAATACAGGTGACAGCCTGCCAGCTTAACTGAACTTCTATCACATTCAATACAAAATAAAGTTGGCAGATCCCCTGGAGGTTCTATTTTATTTCCTGATTTTCCCAGACCTATTTAGAAAATGTTTTTTTAGCTCTAAGATTTTGAACAGTAGTTTTCTGACACAGAGACTATTAAGCATTCAGTATTAAAAACAACCACCCCACTGACATGGTCCATAAGCATCACAACTGGCACCTCTATACAGACTGTATGAGTTTGAATTATCGTCTGTGATGGAAATATTTTAGCAATGGAATTTTCAAATTGTCTGCCACTTCACAGACAAATCGCCATCAAGACAAGGTGTAGCATTAACATATGAAAAAATACCTCCTTTAACGATTTAAATGCTTTCTAACTTTTCTTCTCACTCTTGCAGCTACAGTAAAACTCTCAGTTTGGGAATACAAATTTCAAAGATTGAGGGCTGGAGAACAACTAAAGGTATCACCTCTTCCCTTGAAAAAAAATTAACTCACCTTTATCATCTTTTATATCATTTATCATTTATCTTTTTTATCTTGTCTTATCATCTTTTTTCCTACATTTTTCATGCTGGACCTGGGAAATCTTACTGCAAGATTGTATAGTCCAACACCAACACCACCTTCTTTCCTCTCTTACTTTTCACTTATCTTCATTTTCTCATAGTAAATGCCCATGCCTTCAACCCCTCCTTACAGCCACGTCCATTTCACCTAGATGTTTCCCCATCACAGATTTAAGTATGGGGCTCTAAACTGGACCTAGTTTTCTAATAGGACCAACTGAATCAGAGCAATTTCTTTACAAATCGTAAGTTCAGCATCTCCAGTAAGTATCAAGAATTAAATAAGATTTGCTGGTTTCACTAAGGGCAAATCATGCCTGAACAAATTTGGTGGCCTTCTACAATGGGGTTACAGTGTTAATGGATAATGGAAGAGCAAATTACATCATCTACCTGGACTTGTGCAAAGCATTCGACACTATCCCTCACAACATACTTGTCTTTTAAACTGGAGAAGCATGGATCTGATGGAAGGACAACACAGTAGATAAGGAAATGGCTAGACGGCTGCACTCAAAGAGTTGCAGTCAATGGCTCAATGTCCAAGTGGAGACTGGTGACAAGTGGTGTTCTGCAGAGGTCAGTATTGGGACCAGTGTTAACATCTTTGTTGGAGAAATGAACAGTGGGATCGAGTGCACCCTCAGCAAATTTGCTGACAACACCAAGCTGCGTGGTGCGGTCGACACACTGGAGGGAAGGGATGCCATCCAGAGGGACCTGGACAGGATGGTTGGATTTGATCATCGTTGACGTCTTTTCCAACCTTAATTATTCTATGATTCTATGATTCTATGTCATAACAGGCTTGAGAGGTGGGCCTGTGAAAACATCACAAAGTTCAACAAGGCCAAGTGCAAGGGCCTGAACGTGGGACGGGCCAATCCCAAACACAAATACAGGCTGGATGGAGAGTGGATTGATTGAGAGCAGCGCTGAGGAAAAGGAGTTGGGGGTGTTGGTTGATGAGGAACTCAACAAGAGCCAGCAATGTGCACTCACAGCCCAGAAGGCCAACCGTATCCTGGGCTGCATCAAAAGAAGCGTGATCAGCAGGTTGAGGGAGGGGGTTCTCCCCCTCTACTCTGCTCTCGTGAGACCCCACCTGGAGTACTGCATCCAGCTCTGGAGTACTCAGTGAAGGAAAGACACGGACCTGTTGGAGCAGGTCCAGATGAGGGCCACAAAGATGGTCAGAGGGCTGGAGCACCTCCCATATGAGGACAGGCTGAGAAAATTGGGGTTGTTCAGCCCAGAGAAGAGAAAGCTCTGGGGAGATCTTATAGCAGCCTTCCAGTACTTAAAGGGGGCTACAGGAGAGACGGGGAGTACAGTGATAGAATGAGGGGTAATGGTTTTAAGATGAAAGAGGGTAGATAAAGATTAGATATTAAGAAGAAATATTTTACTGTGAGGGTGGTGAGACTCCAGAACAGCTTTCCCAGAGAAGCTGTGGATGCCCCATCCCTGGAGGTGTTCAAGGCCAAGCTGGGTGAGATTTTGGGCATCCTGATCTAGTGGAAGGTGTCCCTGTCCATGGAATGTGGGTTGAAATCATCTTTAAGGTCCTTTCCAACCCAAACTATTCTGATTCATTTCAGTAACAACACTGTCTATTTCTTTAGTTCATGATCCAATGACATGAACATAACTGTTGCTGTATTAATACCTCACCAGCTGATTGCCTTTTAAAATCTGTTTATTTGCTTCTTCCTTTTTAAGGGTTGCACATCTAGACTATTCTATTTCATCTTCTTGACTTTGGAGTGCCCCTCAGAAGCTTGAAATAGCCTGATCTCATTTTGCCTTTTCAGTCTCTTCTCAGGTTGGTCACATCCAGACACTGTGTCTAAGCACTAACTGCTCTGGCACCAGGAAGATTCCCTTATGAATGTGCACTCAAAAAATATCCTCTCAGTCTGACCAGGATCCACAGCTGTGCATTCCCTGAACTTCAAGAACACCACAAATCCATGGTTTGCTTAAACTATGGTTATTCAGAACTACCAAAAACTTGACTGAGTACATTTTACCTATTCTACTGCCCTATCCTCATTTTGGGTCTTGTCTTTGTCTATTAAGGATGCTAGATTAGTTGGACAGTTGATGAATTCTACCATTTAACTTTTTGTTTATTTATTTTCCTAGAAGCCCTGCTTGAGCAACCTGTTAAGGTTAAAAAACAAACAAAAAACCACAAAACAGACATGTTCCCCCGGAAGACAGAAGAGCTATCTTATGATTATTCACCATTCTGCACAGTCTTTTGTGAAAATCTGCATTTCAAGGCAATCTGAGAAAGAATGTACAACTCACAACCTATGATCTTGCTCTCATTAGCTGAAGTCTCAGAGGACCCAAGGGAGTCTAGAACTCATATGGTGCTTAAGTCTATCTCAAATGACAACTCTGTATGGTTACAAAAATATATTTAAAATAAAAGGCAGCTCAGGAGTGAAAAATATCAGTAGCAAAAAGGAAAAAGTCACACCAGCTATCAGCCAAGCTGATTTTATTTCACCTAACCTTCTTAATGTTTTAATCTGTACCAGTCCCCGTGGCTGGATTTAAGCAAGCCAAGCCAGTACGTCATCTTCGTAACTTTTAACTCCAGAAATGCAGCAAGATTCAAGCATTATGTTCACGTTTATTTTAAACTCCCAAAAATCTCACCAGTGCTCATCTCTGGCACTCTCCTTCTGGATGACATTAATTATTTGATTACTACCTTAATTAAGTGGCCTAGTATATGCAAACAGCCTGTTCCGAGAACAGTACTAATCAACTTAGCAATATGTTTGCAGTTAACATAAGATTTTTTTGGCTTATGGCTAATAAACATAGCTTCTACTGATGGTCCTACCAGCCTTGAGACAAGTAGTAGTCATAGCATGCCCTTTAATAGTAGCCAGTGCCTGTGTCACTTTCCAATCATTTTGACCCTCACCTGTGCAGTGAAGGGCACAATTAAGCTTTAATGAAAGCAAGGCCATTTGTTCTAGCAAGAATAACAGAAGAAAATATTCAAGTACATAACATCACCCTCCTCCTCACCCATATTTCATGACTGCTTTTGTTTCCTTGTGTCTCAGAAAGTGTATGGAAAGCAACAGGAAAAAGAGTGGACAGACACAGATTCAGTCTCCCCCATTCTTGCATGGAAGACTGACTAATCATATAATCATGAGTACTTTGTTTTTGCAGTTCAAAAACTAGACAGATAGGGTTTTTTATTCGCAACTCCTGTGATGCCTGATTTGCAAGCTTCTCCCTTAAAACATACTAAAAACTTGTTTTGAGAAGTGAAACATTGGTTTAGTCACCAAGAGGAACTTCAAGCTGAAACTGCGTATTGCCTAACTCCAATAAATCTCAGGACTTGACAACAGCAATTTACTGTTGCTGAAAGCAGGCCTTTTAAATGGTACTGAAAAACCATCCTCATCTTTAGAGAAGAGAATCATTATGAGTTTATTTTTCCCCACAGTCAGGAAAGATAGGATTTACGTGCTCTGTAAAGACATAGCCTTGAAATTTAGCAGTGCACAGTCTCTTGACTTCAGTAACAGCAGGTCACGTACATACAGCTGCACACATGAACTAACTTTCAGAAAGCAGCCTTTCTAGCCACACAAACCTGTGTCTTAAGCAATGGTAACCAAACCTATGTCCATCTTCAATGTGCATCACTGCACTGACACAGCTTTTCTCTGGGACAGTTTCATTGCAATGAGAACCAGTCTGGGCATTAAGCTTAAGACTTCCATGAACTTATTCCTGTTACCTTGAAGTGCAACCACATGAGCCTTTCACATACTGAACAGACAAGACTCCTAGACATATCGCTTGCTAATGGAACTGCTGAAAGTACAGTTAAATTTCTTCCCCCAATGTATTCCTCACCTTTTTGTTTTACAACATTTGGTTTAAACTCCCAACTACTTTGTGCTGTAATACTGAAAAGTAGATTCTAAAAATGACAGAAAGCCATTACAAGGAAAAAATAAATATCAGCAAATCCTCTTTGTCTTTGATGTAACCAACTCCTGTTCATGATAGGAACTAAGTAGCTTTCACAATGGTTTACATCCAGGTGGCTCATTTCAGACGTGAAGACCAGATTAAAATTGTGGCATCTCACCCAAAGGCCGTCACTCTCTCTCACCCAAGTTTGGCATAAGCAGCTGCAGAAGTTGCCCTCCTGCACCTCTCAGAAAGCCAAACTACTACTCGGGAGGAAGGGGAGATGGGTGAGACAGCTAATGACAGAGGGTAGCACCTGCTGTGATGGGGGGCATGTGCCCTGTGGCAACCACAGTTTGTTTAGAAAAGCAGCTGCAACATCAATTATCTGGGTTAAGCTGCGAGCAAGAGGCTGCCTTTAGCTGCTTGGGCAGCATTTCTCCTTTGAACAGCCCTTCCCCACCTGAAGTAAGCCTAAGGAAACTGCCTGGAAAGCACGATCTACTAGGGTCTAATTAGGGCCACAATGAAAAGCCTTCAACTCGATTACTGAAGAGTTACACTGACAGTAACAGTGAACAAACAGTAGCTGGTGAAACACAGAGTGTATGTGAACAGTGGTCAGGGAGAAGCTGAACATGCTGACAGGAGTTAAGATTGCCTGACATCTTTCCGGTTAAAATCTAATGAAAAATAAAGCCTGACAAAATTCAATCAGCTCACTTCATTTTTTCGTGCTACATTCAGTCTAATTTTTCCCCCAATCTACATGTAAGGCTTTTGCCATTTAACCACATAAAACCCAGAAAACCTGAATGCTGGTTACATCAAAACCAGGCACTGATCATTTTGAATTTGTATTTTCCCATTCTGTGTCAAAGAAACCCTTTTCTTGGGGGCTATGCTACAGAAACACATTGAAAAACTGCAGCTTGTTTTTCCTGTCTTGAATATTTGGGCTGTCTCTTTTGCCCCAAATTTAAGCTGGTCCTTGCACGCTTCAAGTAATCATTGTACATGCTGAGAAAAAGTCCTTTGTAATTAATGCATATGACTACTACAGGCAAAACAGAGATTAACAGCAAAAGACTAACAGCAAAACCAGTGCAGGAGGGATTATGCCACATCACTCAAGTGCTTCCTGATGTTGATAGCACATGAACAGTATGGACATAATAAAAAAAAGAGTCATCCAATTTGAAGAAAAGAGGACAACAGTGACTAATACCAGGACAGGCTTACAAAAGATGAATAATTTAACCTTTAAAGTACAAGCCCCAGAATTGCCTGGAAGGCTATCCAAAATTACTAAGTTCCAAAAGTCATCTCATGTCAATGACATCCACTGTCCTTCTGTGAGCTTCTTTCTCCTCTATTTCATATGCAGAGCAATGAGGTACCCCATAAAGGAGCAATTCCCTGTGCCTGTGGAGTGAACCTATACCTTCCAAACCTAATGGTCAAAGTTACAACCATATATGATGTTACATAGCTTCATTACAACGTTCCTCAGCATTTGCTTTACTCTTTTAAAATGTTCATATTGATTTTTAATTTTTTAAACTTTTGCAAACATAGCTAAGTTGCAAAACAAGAAAATGTACCTTATCTACTTATGCCTCCTATTGCCTTAACTCTAGCAATACCATATGCAACAGCTGCCTTACTAGTCCTTCTGTGATTTCAGCAAGATGTGTAACCTAGGTAAGTTTACTTTGCTGCTCTCTCTTTCCACAGTTAGTAGTCCTGTCCTACAAAAGCACCCTCTTGCAAGAGCTGATTGTTTCGACCATACTTTAATTCAGTTCCCATATTTGGGCTGCCAAGGATGTTAATTTCCAACAAGAGTGGTAGTGTTCTTCCTTCATTGATCTGACAGCCAGGAACTGGATTTAGGCCCAGACTCCCAAAATTATTTAAACACCTCCAAGACTCCTAGCCAAAAGGACCTAAAATGTACTTAAGAATTTAGAACTCCATGTCCAAACAGGAATTTATGAAACTGAAAACAAGCAGCTTTCACTCACTGACAGTTAAAATACAAACTTTTAATTACAGCCTACTAATAGTTCATCCTAAGATCATATTTGAGAAAAAAAATTGTTGGGTTTAGCTCCATTTTACTGTGCCAGAAATGAGAAGTGTGTCTTCTTAAAAACATGGAAAATTATTACACCAGGTTCCGCTGTTGATCACTACTTCTCAGAACTTTTTGTCTGAGTTGCAATCTACTCAGTAGAACCTGAGAGCTATTTCTTTCCATACAGAGTGCTAAATGCCATATTACAAGATTCCCTGACATCTCCTGAAAGACTCAAAGCAGTACTCAAACACACATTCCAGGTTCTAGAAGTTTGGATGCTTATATCTGAGAAGTGCTGAGGTTGTGCTGAATACAACCACTGGTCAAAATAATTTTGTTGCTTGACCACAGTACCTCTGTACTTGGCTACCCTTTAGTTTCCTCTTTTGTATTTTATAATTTCACTGCTCAAATACAAATTTGCACTATTTGTAACAGAAGAAATGATGTATGTGTATGATTTACAAATTCTACCTTAGCATAGAACAGACAACGTGTCAGTGCTGCGAAGTGAAGCCTGTTCTTACCATACAGTTCATGGCAAAGTGATTGTGCTGTGTCTGAAGCTCCATTGCATGGGGATGACTGGTTCCAATCTCCGTGTAGCTGTTTAGAAACAGACCTTTGTTGTGTGTGATCCAGTCAAACATCTACAAGAAAATATTAAGGAGAAAAAAAAAAAAATCACTAATTTTTTACATCAGAAATCACAGACAACATGAGAATTCTGTGAACACAGAAGACAGAAAGAGTCTAAGGCCATGAAAACTAACACTTTCCATTACAATTTCCATTGTAAGTTACCACACATTTTAACCAAACCATTGCTGAAATCTGACTTTTTGGACCAAACAGATAAGGCTGTTAAATCTTTACTATAGGTGTTTATCTCAACAAACTACAGTAAAGTCATAATCATAAAGTCATAAACTTCATTACTACAAAGTCATAGTAAACAAATGTGCTTGGAGCACAGCCATGAGTTACCAAGCTTATACATTCTCTAGTGTCAGTATTTCATTCTGTCAGCAGTTTAGTAATTTAGAAGGAAAATGGCAACTCATGCAAATTAAATATAAATTCATTCTTGCTGATCTGGTACTTCAGCAGCAAGTTTAATATTTTTAGTTCATAACTTCACAGCAAATTTTTAAAAAACTTTGTTATTGCTAAACATTCTAAAAACCTATACTTGAGCATAAAGTTACATATTACCTTCTTCCAAACAAGTTTAAGGATAATCTTTAAATATGTTTGTTGGTTTTGCTTTTTTTTAAAAGTAATTTAATATTCAAAAAATTTTAGGAAAGATCTTATCTGACAATAACCATAAACGGAGGTACGTAAGTATGTTAACAGTAGCTCTGGAAGACAAAGTTTTCAAAAACCAAGCAACACAGCAACAGACTAAGTTTAACAGACACACGCCCCCCAGTGTTTTGAAATCTTTGCTGTATCTCAGCCCAAAAGACCCATCTACTCTCTGCATAAGCTTAAAATGATTTTTCAGAAAAAAATAGTAGCAACAAGCACTAAGTGAGCAGTAAATACTCAAATATCTTTTAAAATATGCTGGCTAACAAAGCAATATTATCAAATCCATTATTCCACCCAGGTACATGACAAATCAAATTATAAGTAGACCACAATATCATAAAGACTGTAAAAAAAAGAAAAGAGTTTAAAGAGTTTAGACAACTGAGACAGCTGATCACACACTCCTAAAATTTTCAGTTTCTCGTCTAGACTACACCGAAGAAGTGCTAGAACATTATTCAAAACAGACACTGGTCCTGCTTGTGACAGGGCGATTCCAATCAGATTCCCTCCCACCTCACCCTTTTTTTGCCTTATCCTCTCCTGAACCAGCCCAGATTTCTTGTGCAAAGAGTTGTGCAACTCCTCCAAAATAAACACCTTTATTCCTCACCATCCAATGGACTTTATTTTTCCAACAAAGATCCAGCCCTTTCCTGTACCTAATTAAACCACACAGACATACACTGATGAAGGAGCCCTGAGCTTCGGGCCTGAAAGAGCAATACTAGACCAACCGCTTATTATTTTCTAATAATTTTATAACTCTAAATGTACCTGACCACATTTTTTTTCAACTCTGTACATGCCCCTACTATTTTCAGCTGTACCCATTCAGTGAACACTTACTTTAAATGTTATTTTTTTTAAATTATTTATTTTTTAAACACAGCAGAAAACATCAGGAGTAGAAAGTCCCTGAGGTGAAACGATCCGGGTAAGGGAAAGTACAGGGGAAGAAAACAGAGGAAAAAGGAGGAAGCAGAAGTATTATATATGTTTACTCTTCCCCATGCATTTGCTTATGACCACTGCTGGAGCAGGATACTGGTTTAACACAGACCTTTGGTCTGACCCAGTTTAGGCATTCTTACTTAAGTTATTTTAAGAAAACTGACAAAGACCATACTTACCACTTGACTGTATAGTCTAGTTACTTCTCCCAGAGAAAAACTTCCCACCCTTCATTAAAGCTATTTTTCCATGGTAACAAGTTAACAATAAGTGATTGCAAAACCATTCTATATGAAAACAGATCTTATTTGAGCTCGTATAAAAGTGCACTGCCTGCCATATTTCCTCTTCAAATTCCATGATAACCAAGGGCTTTCTCATTTGAAGGGACTGGTCAGCATGAAACATTCTGAGATCACTCACTCCCCTGTTAATAACATATGCACTGTCGAAAGAGATACATCAGGTTTTACCCTGGGACTTTAAATCCTGCATCAATGAAGCAGTTCCCCATGTCAGCCTCTTAAGACTTTGTCGACTGACTGTCACTCAAATCCCAAGGGTCACTCAAAAGGAGACTGCTATAGTCCTTAGTCATCTGTATTTATAAAGTATAGAGTATTCATCTTCACTTGATGCATGCAAAAGCATCTGTCTGGAACAAAAACTGACCTAAGCAAAAGCTTTAAAGTCACTACCACTTAACATTTTCTTTGGTGAGAGCTACCTGTGTTCTTTACAGCTTAGAATTACTACCTCATCCCCCTACTTTGTAAGACTAAGAGTCACTCTCAATCAAGAAATCCTTTATTTCTTGTTAACAGTCGAGTGATTAACTCTGAAGACAAAAATTACTACTTGCAGTTATCCTTCGTACTTTCAAGTCTGTCAAGCTTTGTTCCTATCATTGGCAGCACCCATTTATACTCCCCTCCTGCAATCCCTTACCTTTTCAGCATCCTGCTCAAACAGCCTGAGCTGAAAACATTGGTCCAATTTCAATTTCCGCACATGCCACATCTGATGCAGATGCTGCCGTGTTGAGTGCAGCCTGTCCAGCATGGTGGATACTTTGGGTAAAAGGTTCTGTAAGTCTGCATTCCCTGACCCAGAGTTCTTTTTGGGGAAGCTATCACTGCTCTGTATCCGCTGGAGCAGTTTTTGTCCTTCCACATCAAGGTCCTCAATAGGGGCCTTAATGACTTTCTTTTTTAATTGTGAATGCTCCTCTATCATATTGCGAGCACCTTCCAGGTCCTGAGGCATTTCCTTTTTTGACAATATGTCTTGCAGTTCCTCCAGTCTGGACAGCATATGGGTTGCATTGCTAATGTAGTCCTCAAAGGCAACTCTGATTTCTATCCACTCCTCATGGTTGTACTCCAAACAGCCATCAAATTCTGGGGTTAGCTGAGAAGGATCAACTACTTTGGTAAGGCCTTCCAGAGACACCATATTCGTCTAAAAAGTAAAAATGAAAATTAAAAAATACTGTTATTGAAATAAATTTAAAATTTTCTTTCAAGTTTTCTTCTCTTTTTATGAGTTGATAACTTCGCTCATCAAGTCCACGTGACTTAACTGTTCTCATACATTTCTTTTTAAATATCAGTTCTGATCAGCCTCCTGTCTTTCAGGTATTTCCCCAAATGAGAGCAATATTTTATTTCTTTCTTACCTCACTCCACTTAAGGAGAAAACAGCAACCACTCTTTCAACTACTGTTTTGATTAAGTTTTGTCTTTGTGTATTGCGCAGCAGGAGGTTCACTTGGCTGCTTTCTTCTGCACAGGATGCTGATGACATAATGATTACCACAATGCAGACCAAGACAACAAACAGATGAAAACTAACTTTTTACCATTAGGAGTAAAACCCTTATTCCACCTTTCTCACATGCAGAAAAATAATATAAATTACAACATGCACAACCACCTAGCCTAAGTACATGAAGAAAACCACATTCTGTCTAGCACCACTGGTCTAATGTACTCCTCCTCTTACCTAGAACACAATTTACCTGAGAGTTTTCAAGATGCTGATCAGTAGTGAGTACACTTAAAACCATTAAGTAAATGTACATTTGAACACCATAGGGGAAATTACCTCAAACTCAAACTTAGAGCTGCCGAAGTTAGTCCTCTGTTTCTGCCAGAAATTGTCTGGCTTGATTATCAGTGCAACATGAATACAACATGGAAAGGATTCCTGTAAAATCTTCAGCAGAGGCTTTATGGAGTCCCATTTTGACCCACGCATATCTACAATGACGGTGAATCCTCGTTTACATACTTCCTCACTGCAGAAGAAAGAAGAAAAGGTTATCAAGTAAGTGTTACAACTTCAAACACAGCACTCCACTGTAGCACACTGCATAATGTACCACACTGGTCTCCTCAGCCAACGGTCACACCCTCGGGTCTCACTGTTGACTAGATAACACATACAGCAGATCTCATGAACCTCTCAGGAAGCTTCTCTCACCAGCCTGCCAAACTCCTTGTGGGTGATAGCTTTACACCTGTTGCTGATTTGATAATCTGCCTTTATCTCCCCTTTCATTTTCATTGTTTATATTCACGATGATTCATCTTCCAGTCTTGTTTCTCCTTCACCTTACACACACATTAAACTCACCATTTACTGAAGCAGCAAAATGGAATTTATTTACAAGTGACTCGTCAGAACACATACACGCTTTACTGATTACAATATTCATACCTTTCTAATCACTGAGGGGATCCTCTAAAAGACAGAAGATGGCATATTGTTCTTACCTACCACTTCTGCAACTTTTCTAAACTGTCTCAGATCTAGTCCCATCTTATTTGAGAGTTAGAGTATTAGTCTGTAGAGGGAAAACAACCTCTTTATTGACAATTCCTTCTGTAACAGGATCGATTTGTGGATAGTTAACGGATAAGAAAGCATTTTATGGCTGTGAAGAAAACCGCATCAACCTGTTCCTACAAAATTTGAGCTCAATTTCACTGTCCAAAAGTTGACAGACCTTACATCCAAATTCTCTGGCAACTCTTCTGAGAATGGCAGATTTAATTTATTTTCATCAATACCTTTTGTACACTTGGTGCTTGCCACTGATCAAAAGTCACAATCATCATCAACACCAAAGGCTTTTATTTTGTTCAAGTAGAATTTGCTACATGACCTTGTTAACACAGAAGGTGAAAATACTTCAAAACTAATGTGTCATGGACTATCAAAAGGGACCAAATGTCTGTGGTTTGAGTACATGAGTCACTTTGAGGGATGTGACTAATGTAAGTGCAATTCTGGAGTTCATGTGGTGAGGTTTTCAGAGTGTCCAAGAAGTAGGGAAACTTCACCATCATACTTTACACAGTCTCATTGGCCTCTCTGTAGAAAGATGAGGTATGAGTGATGCAGGAAAGCAGAAGAGCTTCTGTAAAAAGTGGTAATACAGGTTCCTTAGGAGTTTTTTTTAAAGTTGTTTTAAAAAAAAAAACAACAACCACCATTTAAAAAAAGGAGTTTATCAAGATAAAAATGCTGGCTGTCCCACCTGCCCACAGGAATCAAAAAATGGCAACAGTAGCAGGAAAATACATTAGAATTGACTAGCTTGGAATAATGTAGGCTACGACGTAGTAGTGAAAAAGCTTTCTAACAGTCTCACAGGATTAAAGGACAAAAACAACTACTGTTTTAAAGATACATCCATTATTGAAAGGCTACACACTATTCTATGAGTGCTGCTCAGCCCTCCCCTACCCTACCACACAAACTGGCCATTGGGTGAGGAGGAGGACTTGCCACTAATTCACATTAGGCATACATCTACTAGCGTGTACAAAGCAGCCCCTCATCGTGTGGTACAATGCAGATGTGTCCTCCTGTCATGTGGCCCCATCATCTGACAAAGGATTAATCTATTTTGGCCAAGGATCACAAATATGTTTCTGGGAGGCTTTAGTCAGCCAAGGTCATCTGTTAGGTAAACCTGAACTGCATTAATATCTGGTCCAGTCAGCACTGGTGACTTAAATTTAGCAGTATTTTAAAATCAAATAGATCATTAAATTAGTAAAGTTGTGAGACTAATCACCTTAAGTGTTAAGATCTCTTGCCAAACAACTGATACCTCTGAGTCTTCAGCTACCTAGAGTAACAGTGCTGCAATAACTAATCAGTAGACCAACAGTTCGGGACTATCTGTACCCATTGGGACTTCTTAATTAGCAAGATTTGCATGACCAGTCCCTAAAACATGACTTGTATGAAAGTGAGTCTTACTTTAAATAAAGTTTCCTTTATTCTCAAGACTTTGCCATGCTTTCAGAGACATAAAAACCTGCATTAACTTTATTTTAAATCTACTGATGCTAAAATAACATACAGCTTTTGCTGAAGGACCACCGTATTTTGACAGATTGCCTCTAGAAAAATCTCTTATTTGGAGGAATATTTATCTATTAACTTCTTTAGTAACTTGAAGCTCTAGAGGGCTAGAATACATGTCATTCAAATGTGAAGTCAAACTATTTTAGAGGTAAAAATCGCAAGACTTCTTCCCCTCCTCATTCCTCTTCTCCCCAAAATCCCCAATGAAACAAAAAAAAACACAACAGAAGAGAATACTAAACACTCATACACCTTAAGGTGAAATAAAGACCAGAATAATTGAATTACCAACAACTGTTCTTAAGAAAGGCCATATATACTCATAACTAGATGTCTTGAAGTTATTTTTATGAAAGCACTTTTGTCAATCTGAAACCAACATCTGCTTATATCAGGTGCAAAGAGGAGTGCCTACAGATTTACATATTGCAGAAATATGGAAGATACTGCTCTTAGGGGTATTGTCCAAGGGTTTTTGTTTCAACTATAATGACAAACTGCTCCTTGAGGTTGTAGGCAAACACATTCAAGAACAGTCAGAGTTGCTCCAGTCTGCACCAAATGTTGCCAGATTCTGAGACAGACTTAAAACAAGGTTCTTATGATAATTTTTGTCCCTAATTCAGTTACTATTAGGAAAAAAGTTTTATGTGAACAAACTTTTTATATAAATATATATACAAACTCACAAGCATTGGATTTGACTTTTACCAATTTATTTGAACAGCATATTGTAATTCCTATCTTAAATTGTTGACAATACAATTATATTAATACTTTCACACGTCTCTCCACAGGTTTATCTGAGATCAGTACAAGCAATTGTACATATCTCTCTCTTGGTTATTCCTGTGCTATATCAGGACACTATAACTTATCTAACACAAGGTAGGAGTGCCGTGCTGACCTCAGTCCACACAAGGAATACTGTGAATGATGACCAGTATGTTTCTAATTATCGATGTACTGAAAGCCTTTGAGTTTTACTTGCAATCTTCAACACAGTGACAGCAATATGGCATGGCAGTGCCATTTCCAAGCCACAAACTACTTCCAGCTAAAGCACACCAGCCATTCTGCCAACAGCCTTCCTTCTACAAGGCAGAGTAATTATTTAGGGCTTTTCCAAAAAAACAGTCTGAAAACAGTAACTGACAGAACTTGGTACGAATTTGCTGAATTTTTTAACCTGCTCAGTCTTCTAGCTTGTGGGTGTACTGCAACATAACCAATTTATTTTGGCTTATAGCTTCAGAACTTACCAAGTGACCATCACTTACCTAGGAATACACGCTAGGTATGAAATTAGTCTTCTAAGGTCTTCTTGCCGTATTCTGTCATGATTACTACGAGCTGGAAATGTTAGAATGGGACCTCCACGTTTATCTCTGCCACCTGAAAAACAAATTTGTAAAAAGTTGAAAAAACCCACAAAAACCTAGGCTTCAGAATGTTTTTGGAAAACCCAAGTCCTACACTGTTGCATAAATATCCACTTAAAAAAATAAGTGATTTCAAGTTAAATGCCAACACTGTCATTTAGAGACCAGTTTAAAATTGAATTTTGGGAGTATCAATAAGCATATTGTCACAATTCCTACAATAAAGAAGTACCTGCCTCAAAAAATTGAAACAAAAAATAACCAGAGCGTTACACTTACACTTTACAATCACATTCAAGTTTGACTGCCAGTGTTACATCTCCAGCAATGGTACTTTGTTATGTACTTAACGTTTTAATCAGCAATTGTTCAGATTAAACATAAACATAGAGCTACACTACTTTGTAGGCAGGTATTTAGAGGATATTCAGCGCTAACTTCATTACTAGCAGAGTTCAGGTGTATAGTATTTCACACCCAATGCATAACCAAGATGAGTGTGGGGGATACTATTTAAGCAATTAATTTATATTTTCATCCTGTTCTCATGTGCAGATCCTGAATTGTCAGATCATAGCATTTAATTTTGTTAGCAATGCAAAACAGGGAAATTCTGAATCCACTCATTATGTAGGCAAAGAATCTGACTTTCAGTGGTTCCACTTAAATGTATTCATCTTAGCCGTGAAATTGCATAGACTTACTGTAGTTGAATATTAAAATGTAATTTTATACCCAACCCCTTGCTAGTGACAACAAAATCTTACTATTACTAATGCTAAATTCAAGTCAGAAGGATGCCTTTATCAACACTTGTATAATAGCAGATACATTCCTACAAGCTAAATTTCACATATACGTTCTCAACCACAGATGTGTGGACTGTTTTCTCCTGTCCCATGGAAATGCTGAAAAACACTATCCTCTGTCCTGAATGACTTCTCACTGTAAATCAGCTCCTCATTGTAAATCCATGTTACTGAACAAAGTTTTTTTAAAAAATCCCTTAGAAAGGAAGGCCAAAAGCAAATTAATAGAAACAGTCACTCAAAAATTCATTACTATCCTCCCCAACACAGTCGGTCCCCAACACAGTCAGCGTGTGCTTGCTAGAGACAAGGTCTCCAAGGTCTTTCTGCACTGGACATGTTCCCCAGGAGGCACCAAATGAAACCCAGAAAAGGCAAAAGCAGCTTTGAGTTTCTGTCAAGCTGCTTTTGCCAGAAACACAGTCTTAAAAGGAAATTAATATTCTTATATTCCATGACCCTCTTAAGCAGGACATAAGATTAAGAACAACTAAATTGTCTGAATCTAATGGAGAGAGACAAGGCTGGTCTTGACCACCCTAACGCACTTGCCAAGCAGAGAGCTTTGAGGATTTTTACATACCAAGTGACAGGATAAAAACAAGACAGAAGCCCCAAGAGAGAGGAAGGATAAATGACAAGACTGGAAGTCCAACAGCCCAGGCCTTTGCTGAGCTCCAGAGTGATTACTGGGCTCCAAGGCTACCAAACTTAGCTGAAAGTCTGCTGCAGCCCTTAATGCTCCCCTCAGCCACCAGCTACAGATATAAAATTGTATTTAGGTTTCAGCTAGCGAAGACCACTAATTCCAAACCCCCAGAAAAAGTGCTTGATTGCTCAGGGTGGAAATTCTTCCTTCAAAAGCAGCAGCTACCTGGTAAAAGCATATGCTGAATGATCATTAACACCCTCCCCCTCCAAGGGTTTTAAACAAATGCCTTGTTACACACAGTCACCTCAGATCAGTCCTCCAGGCCTTTCCCACACAGCAACTCCTGTATCATGCGATTTTCTAACACAGCAGAGGAAAGAAACCCGTATTCTTTATGTGATTTTGGATGCCACTTCAGTTGGCTCCCAGGTCCACATACACCACAGACAAAACCCATTTCTAAAGTATGGTGCTTACATTTCTGATAAATCATATCCTGAAATTTCTGTATGTTGCAGGCAAGACTTGTCATGTAAATTTCAGGTACCAACTAGTGTTGAAGAAATTAACACAACCTTGGAGTACTGAAGAAATTAGCACAGCCTTCATTTTTGATGAAAAGAATTTCACTACCCAGTCATAGTAAACCAGATACCAAAATTGTAAATATTATGCAAAAAGTCCCAAAGACTTTTTTTTTTCAGGAGCTATAAAGAAAGCTTTTTTAGGCCTTTTCCAATAAATAACTCTCATTTCCTTTGTTCCCGATGCTCCTGTGTCACACACAAACAGCAATGTTGAAAGCAACAACGTATGAGGCATCAGGTGGGAATTTCCTGTCTCACAATGGTCTTTATTCAACTCAACCCCCTATTTGTCTTGGTTTAACAAGAACATATTAAGCTACTATCATCATGGGTGAGACTTCCATTTTTACCCCTTTCCTTTTATATTAAACCCCACAGTACTGAGACATTCTCTCTGTCTTTGTTTATGCCAAGATGTGTCATATGAGTAGCTAATCGACTCACATGAGTCACTGAACATGAATCACTTCTGTCTAGGGCAACATCACTAACAGCAGCCTTGTCAATGATCTACAAATGGCACCAAAATCCAACAGGCTGAGTAGTGCACTTTATTCAGGAAATGCCTTTTTTACCTTGTCTCAAAGTACTTAGGTAAAGCTCCACATTGGGCATTTATGGCACGTTTGAAAAGTGGGACAAGTTATCTAGTGCTGTTTCTCATATGAAACCAAGAGAATCGCACCTTCTAATAAAACGCTTCTCCGTGTAAGTCTGTGTGGAGATGTAAGAGTATCTGTACCTCAACAGACTTTCAGCTTAAAACTGAAACAAAAAACTGTATCCCAGACTCCATCTGTATTTCACTGTTACAACTCTAGGAGGCTTTTCTATTTCAGGTGGTTAGATACCTAACAATCAAGCAGATTATTTCCCGGTTAGGTGAAAATCAGTTCAAGGAAGCTTCTCTTCTCTAGAGACTACATCTCTCCTCCCCACTCCAACTGTCACCTCAGTCACTAACTCTACCTTTGACAGTTTGAGCATCACAGCTACACTAACATGTTTTAAGATATGCAAGTAGCATACAGATTTTAAGAAGTCCAGATGACTTATCCACACCATAGTCCTGATGTGTACATTATTTGTTGTACAAAATTTAGTTCTAAATTCATCCTTTAATTTTTTTTTAAACTATCCTGGCAGGTGCTACAGATAACAGAGGCAAGGAGAAAGAATTCTATTCCATCTAAATACATCTTCAGATATGCTAAATTATGAAAAATCCAGTCATTATTTTAATTTTCAAAAACACATCATTAACAGGTCAATAAAGGGGGCTAAACTGGATTGTAATGATGGAAGAGAAAGCAAGTGAAGCACGTCAGACCTACTGTGATTTGTGGCAGAGGAAAAGCAACTACTAAAACAGTTTTTTCAAAGTGATGAAGTACTCAGACTGCAAAGAAATTATGTTGAGTAGATCTGTTAAATATATTCACCTGAAAACAAATTAAAGGAATAAATGAAAAGCAAAGATTGAAACAAAGCAATATAGAATTACAGCCTAACTCAGGCTAACAAGATTGATGAGGTACCTGTTGGAGGAGAAAAGGGAAACTCTTATAAATACAGTTTAATCATAACATAGTATACTTAGAGTAAAACTGGTACCCCAGTGGGAGGTATCTGTTATCAAGAGCTTTAACTTGAAGAAAACACCAAGATTTCTGACTGGATCAAAACATCATTTCAAGAATGGCTTAGGAGATACCTATGGTAGAAATAGTCTGGTGTTGCAATCAGGAACAATATGCAGGTAGAAAGGCTGCAAGTGGGATCCCAAAAGCCTGGTGGAACTGGGAGTCTCAGAATTTGCAGCTACTCCTTCAGTGATGACTTCAAACTTCTTATAAAACCACAAAACAATCACAGAATAGCCCAGGTTGGAAGGGACCTTGAAAGATTATCTGGTCCAACCTTCCACAGGAAAGGAAGCCTGGATAAGATTATCTAGCACCTTGTCCAATCCTGAAAACCTTCAGTGATGAGGACTCTACCATGTCCCTGAGGAGGCTGTTCCACTGAATGATTGTTATCACTGTAAAAAATTTTCTTTCTTATATTGACATGAAACCTCTCCCACTGCAACTTGTACTCATTGCCCCTTGTCTTGTCTGTGTGGCTCCTTGTGAAGACAGAGCCTCCGTCCTCCTTGTAGCTGCCCTCTAAGTACTGTAATACTGTAACAAGGTACCCCTGGACCCTTCTCTTCTCCAGGAAAAAAACACCTAACTCCTTCAGTCTTTCCTCAGAGGGCAGGTTCTTCAACCCTTTCAATGGCCCTCCTGTGCACCCTCTCTAGTTTACCCGTGTCTTTCTTTAACTGTGGGGACTAGAACTGGACACAGCACTCCTGGTGTGGCCTGGAAAGCCCTGAGTAGAATGGGGTGATCACGTCTCTATCTCTGCTAGTAACACTCCTGTGGATGCAGCCCAGGATCCGATTTGCCCTTGTTGCTGCAGCACCACATGGATGATTCATGTTCTGCTTTTTGTCCACTGGGAACCCCAGGTCCCTTTCAGCAGGGCTGCTCCCCAGCCACACAGCCCCCAGCCTGTACTGGGGTATTTGATTATTCTGACCCACATGCAGGACTCTGCACCTGACTCTGTTAAACTTCATACTGTTCTTGCTAGCCCACTCTTTGAGCCCGTCCAGGTCTCTCCATAAGACAGTTCTCCCTTATATGTCCATCTCACAATAAGGTGGTCTCAAGAAGTGCTTAAGAAAGTCAGCATTGTAAAAGATCAGTGTCTTTAGTATTCTAAGAACACAAAGATGAACGTATTGCTGTACAGCCCATACTTACTTATTTAACCTGCAGAAGGAAGGTCTCAGCAGAGAAAGGCAAAGAAAAGACTGGGAAAGTGAACTGACGATCTCAAACACTCCATGAATTTTTTTCAGACTGTTCTTTGTGTAACTTTCCTGCTCTACTAGAAATAATCAATTCTTTGGACTGTTGATTGTGATACTTCATTTGTACTTGACAAGGTCCCTGACAATCAACAATGAACATGTTGCATTAACTCTACCAGAACTCCAATATAAATGAGGGAGAACAAAAACACAGAAATCATAGTGATGCTTGTGGATGCCTTAGGCTTAATAGGATCATTAAGAGTCTTCAGTAGAAAGAACCCGAGTTACCTCTAGATACAAGTTTTAGTACAGATATCCCAAATAAATTTGTCCTACTTCTACAGACCTTAAGCAGTTATTGTACTTACAAATATTAAAATGAAGTACTCGAGCAAAAGTTGTACTTTTGAAGGAAAAATCAGGCACATTGAAAGCCTGTCAATCAGTAATCCAACAGTCTTCCTTATCTTTGTGTCCCCAGGTACAAAGCTGGACAGTTCTAGTTCCACGGTTGTTAAGCTCTAGTGGTGGTGGTGGTTTTGTTGTTGCTGGGGGAGGGTCAGGATGGAATGGGGTTGGTTTGTTTGTTTTGTTGTGGGTTGTTGTTTGGTTGATTCGGGTTTTTTTATTGTTGGGTATTTTTTTAAATCACTTGCACTACTAATGTATTTAATTTCATTTAAGACCCACTTGCAACAGAAATGCGAAACTATGGACTTTCGCAGATCAGTTCCAGCCAGTCTTGCTGCCCACAGTTGCTTGCTCTGTTCTTCTGTCGGAAGTTGCTACCTTCACACAGGCAAGCTGGCAACCACTTCTTCCTGCTTGGACCTCATGTGCTGTGGTTCATAATCTATCATCTCACCTTAAGTTTATCTTTCATTTGGCCCACTTCACTCTCACTGAATTAATATCTTTTGAGAATGTCATATACTTATAAACTAACATTAGGGAACACCTATCATCTTTCAGATCCCTTGTAAAACTAAGCTCTGGACAACTTGGAATAGAAACTAACTACATTTTCACTAAGTGTCATAAAGCAAGGTCCAAAAAAGAGTAATGAGGGATTGAAATATTGCCCTTAATTCCCTCTTCTCTCCTTCCTTCCCTCTGAAAATACAGTTTTAAGCAAGCCTTCACTACCACTACAATTCATAAGCAGGAGAATCGGGAGTTCCACACTGCCAGGGAAACTGGCTCAGGGCAGTTATATTCTTTTTTATTAGAGTTGCCAGGACCTTTAAAAAAAAAAAGAAAAACACCAACATCTTTTTTGCTTTACACCTCTAACTTGAGTCAGCAGAGTGGACAGGATGAAGTACTGTAAACTACAGACTGTACTTGCAAGTATCAGCACCCATGCACAGCAGATCTCTGAAGAGTGCAATTTCAGGGATTATTTTGTATGTTTTTTTTGGAGTTCTTGACAAATTATTTATTAAGAAAAAAATCTCCTTTCAAATATGCGACTGTCCTCTAAAACCGACACAGAGGTTATGGCAAAGCGAATGATGTTGTTTAATCCCAACAGATTTGGAAATAAGTTACTTCAGAAAGTCATACCCAAAATGCAGTTCACAAAAATATGAACCTCAGCCATTATTCTGTCAATTAAAGTTACTTATCAAATTACAGAATATGTTATGATATTCATTCATCTGAGCGCCACTTTTAAATCCTCTGCTATTCATCATTAAGTAACCAACCAATTTCAAGGTGTGTGCTGGAGACAGCTAAAATTAGACGCTAACTCATTTCACCATGAAGACATTGTGCTTCAAAGGATATGCTCTGAAATTTCACTTCTGCAACAGAGAATTTCTCCAGTGCTTCAGATGAGCCAGTAAAAAAGCCATCTCTGTAAAACTCTCCAGCAGAAGAACCCAAAAAAAGAGACAGAATATGGCTATGGTACAGCAGGTTGTTCCAAATAATGCTGTTGGATATCCGAGGGGGACAGGATCAGGATGACGACAAACAGTGTGTTCCACATTCAACAGAACACGTACCTTCTTTATTACATATCCTTTCACAACACTCATGTTATGTTTGGGATACACAACAGGAATAGGGGTGACCTTAGCTTTCCATGACTTTTGTCATTATATTTTAATTATTTAAAATACCATTTTACATGTGACACCACATATGCATGCCATAAGAGAAGAAAATAACTGTACCTGAAAGGTATGCGACTTTGTCCTTTAAAATTGGCAATACTTCCATAGCCTTCATTTCATCATTTTTGCGAAACCCTGAAAAACAGAAAAGACAAGGTAATTAGTCAGAAATTCAGACTAGTTCAGCTTCTACATTTAATGAATGCATTGTATAACATTTACCTTTGGAATACAATCTGAATGCTATGATTACAGGAATTAAGATAACCTTACAGTAAAAGGTTGCACAAATAAACCAAACTTTTAAAACATATTAATGAACAAGTCATTGATTTGACTAGCTTATGTGTTAATAGTATATGTTAGCAAGCCTCTGTAGAAAACAGGGTACTGTCATTAGCCTCTTTCATCTGAAAATAAAAACTATCAGTTGGATCCTGTTGCTTTTACACATTCCAAGTCCTATTTTCCCTTTTTGTTCCAGCAGACAGTAGTATCAAGCTAATAATAAGAGTAGGTATCTATCTTTAGAACAATTAACAGTCAAAAAAACCAACCCAACCAAAAAATCCCCCAAAATTCCCAAATCCCAAGTAAACCACCACATACAAAGACACACCAAAAAACCCCCAACACTATTTACACGAAACTTTCCTTACATCACTTCTGTAAGCAGAATTGGGAGATAAATCTCTCAACTTAAAGGGGGCCTACAGGAGAGATGGGGAGGGACCCTATCAGGGAGTGTAGTGATAGGACGAGTGGTAACGGTTTTAAGCTGAAAGAGGGTAGATTTAGATTAGACATTAGAAAGAAATTCTTCACAGTGAGGGTGATGAGACACTGGCCCAGGTTGCCCAGAGAAGTTGTGGATGCCCCATCCCTGGAGGGGTTCAAGGCCAGGCTGGATGAGGCTTTGGGTAACCTGGGCTGGTGGGAGGTGTCCCTGCCCATGGTGGGGGGGTGGAACTAAATGATCTTTTAGGCCCCTTCCAAACCTAACCATTCTATGGTTCTATGAACTGTGTCCTTTCTGCTGCCTGGCAGGAGCAGCATTTTGTGACAGAGAGCACATTTTGTCATACCAACTCTACACACGCATGGAGTTTGAAATGGTCCCCAAGGTGAGTGATTACAGTCAGCATTGCAAACCAGCACCTCACCAGTTTGCCCCTCCTCTCTACTTCCATTACATTTCTGTGTTCACATTCTAAATTTCTCCCTTCTTTAATAAGGGAAATTTAGGAAGCATTTTATGTTTGACCTCATATTCTATATTGACCTGTACAATACAGAATTGGTCCCTCTTGGGCCAATCTTGTTAATCTTACAAAAATTGGGTGGTTTTGTACCTACACTTCAACTAATTGTCTGTATGATCCCTCCCAGTAAATTCAGATTCATGTGCTTTTTAAAAAAATCTCATTTCTGAAGAAAGTACCTCTTCTGGGGTAAGTGGGAACCACTTACTTCTCTATCACTGTTGAGACCCAGAAGTGCTGTTAAATAAGACAGCCCAAAAAGCCTGCTACCACACAATAGTTGTGCTCCTTAAAAGCAACAGTTTGAGCTATTTAGAAGGTAAACTATTTATTTATTATTTATAGTTTCAGAGAAATCTTACAAGAGCAAGCTCTTGTGTACATCTGGTAGCCTTTTCTAAAATACATTGTTCTTCCTCTGCGCAAAAGGGCCACAATCCCTCTAGAGACAGCAGCAGAAGTTGTCTGTTATGCCCAGCAGGGAGGCCATCATTTCTGTTCCTCCTCAAAAATATCCAAATGTTTCCTATCTTCTGGTCTCAGACTCTGAGCTTTAATGAAAGAGCTGTGCCCTTCAGAGATAAAATCTGAACGTATCATACTGATGTCATCAAGTAGCACAGGGTTTGAAAATAACAGCATAATATAAGTAAATTACATCACAGGTTTTCTATTCCAGTCAGCAATATCAAGACTTGGGTGCCACTGCAGTATCTAGTTATGGGCACTTCAAAACAGACCCAGGACACACCAAACAGAACAAAGGACAAAGATAGCCAGGTGTTTACATGTCATGAGGAAGGACTAAACCAAGTGACATCGTTCAGTCTGAAGAACTGAGGGGAGACATGGTAGCAGTCCTCAAAATACATCAAAGTCTATCGGTGGCAAAAGTTGTCTAGAATTACAGCAAGAGATTTACTTCAGATGGTAGGAAGTTTTGTAAAGGAAAGAACCATGAAGCACCACATGCGATTGCCTGTGGAAGACTATGGACTATCCACCACTGGAGACTTAAAAAAAAAAAAAAAAAAAAAATTTAGACAAACGCCTGTCAGCAATGAATCCCTCCAGTTCTCCAGTTCACTATAACTGAAGTGTTCAACCAGCACATTGTCTCAGCACCCACAGATTATAAACAAAAGAAAACTAAACAAATCCTCTTCCAGGCATTGGCTAGTTCCCTGTTTTACATGAACACCATAAACAAACCCCAAATTTGATACACATTCTCGGAAAGGCTAGACTAGGAAAACTAGTTCTTAGACTGACCAAACAGTGGCGGGACACCGCTATTTCTTCCACATTTGCACTTGGACTCTCAGTGGTCTAAGACAGGTCCAAAGGAACCTCTTACATTATTCCTTCCTCCAGAGTACTGGCTATGGGTTATCAGCCTTTTACTGAAACTGACTACAGTTTTCCTCCTACTAAATTTTCATTTAGTAGGGACTAAAGCTTTGAACAGAGTTTAAGAAAACCTTGGCCTTAAATAACTGATCTAAAAAGACAGCTAATACCTTTTTCCATCTCAAACTATATTTGGGCTTTGGTTGACTCTTAAGGCATACAGGCACACTTCCAGAGTTAATTTTTTTTTAATGTGCTTTGAGCACATTTGGATTTAATGTCAATTTACCATGCCCAGCTTTCATATCAACCATGGTGATTCCTTTTCTTTACAGTAAATTCAGAGGTAGAAAACACTTTCTCCTCACCTAAAAAGCATGCAGAAACTAGTGCTGTACTTTGCTGTCTATCTTAGCTCAAAACTACCCAAGACACTGATGTTACCACAACTTGCTTGCTCAGACTTCTAAACCCTTAAACTACTTCACCTCAGATGATGCGCAGTAGCTGCACATTTTACTTTGCCTGTGGCATATAAGAAGCAAGAAACATTTAGCTAACATTTCTTTGACTATTAAGGGGCTGCTCAAGGTAAACGCCCTAGCAAATACGTTAGCGCTTGGCTCATGTTCTGGCTCTGCATATCCTTAAGGCTCACTGCCTTGGATTAGCATATTCCTGAAAAAACCAGCCTATTTTTATTCCAGTTCTGCAGTGTTAAAGCTCAACTGAAAAGACTGTGGGGATTACAATTGACGAAAGAATGCTGGGGAGCAAAGAGAGTGAAGAATAAGGAAATAAAGTATCATATTTTTATCTCCAATAGAGCAAAAATTTTAAAAAAGCAATATAAGCAGCTCCTAAGGGCTTGGGGTGGGTGCCTCCCCCCTCCCCCCGCTCCTTTTTAAAGCCTCTACACCACAAAACACTGGCGATTATGAGGATTTCATTTAAAAAGAAAAAAAAAAAAAAA